AATCAGCTTCCTCATATCAGAGAAAACAATTTGGCATTTTTTGGGGGGGGGATTGGCTAACTTCATTTAGCATTATCTTCTCCAAAGCCATCCATTTACCTGCAAATGCCATGATTTTATTCTCTTTTATTGCTGAGTAAAATTCCATTGTGTATATATGCCACATTTTTTTTGTCCATTCATCTACTGAAGGGCATCTAGGTTGGCCAGCCCCCTTTTTATTTTTTATTTTGAGACAGGGTCTTGCTAAGTTGCTTAGGGCCTTGCTAAGTTAATGAGGCTGGTTTAGAACTCATGATATTCATGCCTCAGCCTCCTGAGTTGCTGAGATTATAGGCATGTGCTACCAAGCTGACATCTGYCCATTACTTTGATTTAATGGATCATGTTAGTATTATGATAGTAAGCAACAGAGACATATGATTTGAAGGGGTTTGGGAGTTCATGAATTGCCCCACCCCCATCCACTCCAATTTTAACTACCAATGCCTGAAATTCTCACATCTACACTTATTTACTCAAGACACTTGTCAAATTTAAATCCTCTTTATCATCTAAATTTCATTATAAATTATTTTTAAATTTTCAGTATGAGAGTGACTAAGCATAGGTTTGATCTTCCCAAAAGATTAATGTGATTTTCTGGTAGACAGTCTATATCTATAATAGAAGAARTTATTAGTTTGGTTCTTTTTGTGCTGATCTTTCCACATCTGAAAAATTATGCCTGGTTATGTGGGAAAAATGAAGAGGAACATAAAAGTAAGTAAAGCTTTTAAAATAGTGTTCAGGTTAGTAGAGGGACTTGAAATTCTATATGATAGATAACAGTTATAGGTAGAAAAGTTGGTTAGCCTGGAGAAGAACAGCTTTATGGGGTAATGTGATGAACATGATGGATCTCTTGAAAGGCAAGCATGTAGGAAATATATTAGACCTTTCTGTTTGTTTCCAGGTGGTAGGTCTGGGACCAACAGGTGGAAGCAACAAGAAAAGACAGATTTTGGCCAGTTGGAGCTTAAAGAAGTAGTATCTCTAATAGTTAGAATTATCTAAAAATAGAATGGGCTTTCCTGAAAAGTGCAGTTACAATTTGGMATGTGCAAGCATCCCCGGATGACCACTTGCAATGGGATGCTGTAGATGGGATGTACACAACAGTGGAAGGACTCAATGTTCCCCATGATTGGTCTATTCTTTTATTCTAAGAAAAAGAACAAGAAGACACAGGCAAGTACTTTTCTAAAGGGACAAACTCTGCCTTACTTCAGATTTCTGCCTCAAGTACAKCACTGTTTCTCTGGAAGATGACTGAAGTCTTGTAAGTAACACAGAAGGACTTCATTTTAAGAGTGATGGGAGAAAATATTAAAAAGAGGTGTAAGGCAGGAGGGAAGAGAGAGGCAGCTGGAAGAAGCATAAGGATTTAATCTGAAAAGAGCTGGGAGGTCCAGAGCCCTCTGCTTCATGTTGGCGATGCTTCGTTGACGTGCCCTCCTTCCCTTCTCTCAGCTTAGCTCCTTTCATGTGCAATCACTACCACCCCATGTTCCACTATCCTGAGCTTTCCAACAGCAAATGAACAGTTTTAACTGGAAAATCTCAGGGACTGTAGGCAGCCTTTGCTATCAAATGGGAAGYGAGAACCATCTTTTCTTTGCATTGTTTTCAAAGTATATCCATGCAACAGCAGTCATCTAYGGAATAGTTGGTGGGGCCAGTACCAAGTCTGTGGAGAACTGCCATGCCCAGTTTTTTTTTTTTTTAAAAAAAACCACTGGAACCAACATATTATTACTATATGACACAGCTTATAGGTACAGGTTGACTGGACACCTTACTCAAATGGATCCAAATGGTACTCTATTTCTTTATTTCATTTAATTTAATTGAAGCTAGACCTATTAGAGTTTTTCTCCAGGATTTTGGGACTTGAACTGAAAAGGTCAGTCTTGCTCTGAGTAGTTAAAGCCTTAAGATATAAGACTCTGATATTAAGGGCAGTCATATTTTTGGTCATTTGGAAAAAGGCAATCTGCAGTGATAATAAAGAAGGAAGTCACTATTTAGGGAGACACTATTTAGGGAGAAGTTAAGAAAGAGAGTTTTTGTATTGTGAGTGTGACTCTGCTGCCAAGATTTCTGTATGCTTAGTTTCATCTGGATCCTTTTTGAATATCTGGTTTTTACCTCTGTCTCTAATCTAAGAGATACCAAGTAATGTCTTCAATAAGTTATCTTTTTTACTTAAATGAGTTTGAGTTGGGTTGGTAACTTATGCCCCAGAGTCCTGGGTCCAGAAAGTAAACCTCATGGTCCCTACAATCAAAATGGCTGTTCCTTGCCATGTCCTCTCATAAGAAGAGATTTGTTTGTCTGTTAGGATTGACCCTTGAGCCAATCAGAGGAGTTACATATAAAATGTGGGCAAGAGAATGTGAGCAAGAGCTCAAGCTGATAAACTATTTGCCTGATTTGATTAAATACTCATTGAAAGTTTTCCTTTTGCAAAATGTGATGCACATATTTTTTAAAAAGAAATTGTAATATTTTATGAAGGAGACATTTTTATTTTTTTCCTGCCAAAGGACTGCAGTATATACCAACATGCACTGTTCATTATCCTTCTGTGTAGCTTTGGCTTGCTATTCAGAATGTTGCTTTTCAGGACAATAATCAGAGGAATTAAGAAATTGGTGGCACCCATATTAACATGATCCATCCCATTTATTTCTACAGAAGCAAATTGCTACCTTCAGTCTACTTGCTGGATGGATGGATGGTGGTATTYTGAAGGTTTATGTGGCATTGACAGCAGCTCTTTTCCCTGATAAGACAGAAAAGGCACCACCCAGCTTTTAAATTTTGACCTGTACCAAATCAATAGGAAAAACCTTTGGAAGAGACACAAGAGTCACTGTAAGACTTCTTAGTAAATTTTAGTATGAACTCCATGGTAGCCCTCATAATTTTGTTCCTCAAAGTTGTTACTTCTAAAAGGTATAAGTTTGATTTTAACTCTCCTRTGTAAAAAAATATTAACCTGAATTCTTATGGACTTCTATTACTATTATTTTAAGTAAAAATAGTCAAAATTAGTTGATTGCTTCTTATRTACTAGTTGCTATGTTAATAATAAGTATATATAGATGTATGTATATATAATAGTCTCAACTTTTTCAGGAAGCCTMCTATCACATCATTGCCAAATGGTGTACAGTGACTTAATTTCCTTTGTCTTCTCACAGTCCATGTCTTTGACCATAAGGTTATACTATATACAGAAGTTTTTCTTGATATGCAACTATGTTTTTGCAGTGCTGGGTATTGAACCCAGGACCCAGGGCTTCWTATATCCTGGACAAATGCTCTACCACTGAGCTGTATGCCCAGCTTGAAATAAAATTATTTTAATAAAAAAACCTAAGAAATATATGTTGCAACAGTGCCTTATCATTTTTTATTTCTGGAAGAAATTTTAGAAAAGGCAAATTAAGATCAGGTCTTTATTCTGAATTTTATTSAATTCTGCTGGAAAGTAAAGTGAAACACTGACTGCATAACTAATAGCAATGGTCTAAGATGAACAAGATCATTCTGGTGAAAACTT